GACTGAAAATGAAAAAAAGGGACTTGAACGTTTTTTACGCTTAACGATCATTGCAGCCATCCCCATGGATGACATAACCAGAATTCGTACCCGTGGCAGCTGACTCGTACTTCTAAGGGTCGCAGTGTCCTGGACTCCATTGATCCCCTTTTGCAATCTTCTGAGTGAGCAAAGTCACTGTGGAAACCGGATTTGCATCACAACCGTATTACTAACTTCATCACTGCAGTCATTTCCCTTGGCAGCTGCGGCAAGAAAAGGTCTTAAAATGGCCCCAAACCGACTTCAACAAATGTCTCGCTTAGCAACAGAAATTCAGGGCTCCGTTGTAGTCATAAGTCAAGGACTTCCCGCATTTGGCCATCTGATGGGAGATGGCCATGTTGAGAAGGGGTGGGATGGTCCTGCAGATTAGCAGCTTGGAGAAGACCGGTGTGAAGTGTGGCTGATAGCAAGCAAGCGAGCGTCTTCTGTAACTCTAGTACAGGTGGTCCTCAAGTTATGGTGGTGGTTATCGTAAGCCATGCCGCAGTGCGAACAGCTCAGTTTTATGACCCTCGTTTTAAGGATCGTAAGCAATTCACCGTGTTGTTAAATGGATCTGCGGTCATTAAGCGAACCGATTATTTGATATAGGGTGTGTTTGCTGAAAACAGGAAGCAAATTATCATTATCAAATCCATTTGCTGCCCATCTAGCAATAGAATAGGAATAGAATAAGAACAGAATAGAATCTTGGAGGTCATCTAGTCCAGCCCCTTGCTCAAGCAGAAGACCCCATCCCATTTCAGACAGGTGGCTGATCAGTTTCTTCTTAAAAACCTCCAGTGATGAAGCACCCACAACTTCTGGCGGCAGGTAGTTCCACTGGTTAATTGTTTTTCACTGTTAGGAAGTTTCGCCTTCATTCCAGGTTGCTTCTCTCCTTGGTTAGTTTCCATCCATGGTTGGAACATCCTTGTCCTGCCTTCTGGTGCTTTGGAAAATAAGTGGACCCCCTCCTTTTTGTGGCAGGCCCTCAAATATATATAAAAGCGAAATGCCCCTCACACATCATCACAAAATCTCTGGAACCGTAAAGCCTACAAACTTGAAATTGGGCCCATATTTCGTATAGTATTATTTACAGGCTTTAATGCTAAGGGGTTTTACTCCCCCTCCCCACCTGAAAAGAAATCTGTTCCAAATGCAAAACACAAGCAGAGGAGTTTCAGTTTTACTTTCACAGCACCCAGCAGCTTTAGTAGAGAACAGTTGAGCTAAGCCACGCCCAGGCTCCTTGCTGTCTCCTTGTTCACACAGCAAATGCTGTTTCAACTTTCCAAACAGCCCTCAACTCTCTCACACACTGACAGGACGCTAGCCAGATGAATACCGATGGATGCTGGTAGGTAGAGGCAGAATTCCCCCCCCCCCCCCTTATTTTCCTCCCCAAAAACTAAGCCCGACCCCATAGTTTCGTAGCAAAGCCCGGGTATCCAGCTAGTATGGGAATATTGCTATCATGTCCCTCCTTGTCCTTCTTTTCTCTAGACTGGCCAAATACAAATCCTGCAACCCTTCTTCACATCTCCAGGCCTTTAATCCTCTTAGTTGCTCTTGTTTCCACTTTTTCCAAAGCCTCGACCTCTTTTTTTTTTTTTGTAACCTGGCGACCAAAACTGGATGCAGTTATTCCAGGCGTGGCCTCGCTAAGGCCTTGTAAAGGCAGATCCTTCCATTCCCCTCCTCTCCATTGTCTTCTGCTCTTTGTCTCCTTAGTTCCTTGACCAGTTCTGGAGGAAGGCTGAAGATGACAGCGGTGGACGCCCTGTCCGACAGCGCCGAGGCAGTAGAGATGGAGGACGCCTCCACGTCCCAGTTCCAGGTGGAGAAACACTCGTGGGAGGGGCTGCGTGACATCATTCACGGCAGCCGGAAGTACACGGGAATGATCGTGAATAAGGCCCCCCACGACTTCCAGTTCGTCCGTAAAACAGAAGAATCGAGCCCACACTCCCATCGGCTGTATTACCTGGGTATGGCCTCGCCTTGGTTGGCAGGACTTAGGAGCCACCCAAAAGACGCTCTTAGGGTTGAGCGCTAAGTCCAAGGTGTTCAGGCTGGATCGGGCCCTTTGATTCTCCAAAGGGAAGAAGATGTTCCCTAGAGCAAGGGCCACTGCAGGATTAGAACTCTGAACCAGCTTTAGAGAGAAATTGGATTTATGTAGGAGGGTCAGATTTTCTACTTTTTACATTCTCTCTCTCTCTCTTTCTCTCTCCCTCCCCATCTCTTTTTCTCTCTCCTTCCTCCCTCCCTCCCTGTCCCATCTCTTTCCTTCCCTTCCTCCCCATCTCTTTCTCTGTCCTTCCTTCCATCTTTCCTTCCTCACTTCCTCCCTGTCCCATCTCTTTCTCCTTCCTTCCCTCCCTCTCTCCCCATCCCAGCTTTCTCCTCCCTTCCCCTTCTTCTTTCTCCTCTTCCTCCTTCTCCTTACCTCCTTCCCCTCCCTCTCCATCTCCTTCCTTCCTACCTGCCTCCGACACTCCTTCCTTCTCTTTCCCCTCCCTCTCTCCCCTGTCCCAACTTTCTCCTTCCTTCCTCCTCCTCTTCCTCCTCCTCCTTACCTCCTTCCCCTCCCTCTCCAACTCCTTCCTGCCTGCCTGCCTCCTACACTCCATCTCTTTCTCCTTCCTTCCTCCCTCCCTCCTTCCTTCTCTCCCTCCATCTTCACTTTCACTATTATATACATTTCCTACATGTGCGTCTTCTGTTTCAGAAACAATCGTTCTCTTAAGAACAGGCTGCCATTAGGCTGCCAATTATAATCTCTTGTGTATTTGTTTTCATCTGTTTGTTTATTCATTCATTTATTCATTCATTTATTCATTTGTTTATTTATTTCCTTTTGTCATTTAAAGTCGCCCAGCCGGCTTTCATGCCTTAGGCGGGACTAGAACGCAGAGTCTTACAGATGGTATCTCTATTGGTTCAACAGACTTTTAAAAAGAAAAACTGGAGTGTTTAAACTTCTAAGGGAGATTACAAAGAGCCGGGAACTGGCTGGCTTCTGTTCTGTGAGTTTAAATAAAAGATTTTTTTTTTTTCCCTCTCTGTCCGACCTTCCTCGGTAGGAATGCCATACGGAAGCCGGGAAAATTCTCTCCTGTACTCGGAGATTCCCAAAAAGGTACGAAAGGAAGCCCTCCTGCTGTTGTCGTGGAAGCAGATGCTGGATCATTTCCAGGTGAGGACGCTTGCGCACCTGGCCCCCTGGGCTTTCAGCCAACTCAGGACACAGGCGGTCCTTGCTTAACGACCATTTTTGGCATCTGTGTCTAAACAGCGCGGTCATTCAACAAGGCGCCACATGACCATAGCCAGCTTTAGCACTTTTCCCATGGTCATTAAGCAAAACGCAGTTACAAGTTCACATGACTCTCATTTGCAAAAGGGCCGTGGGAACGCCGTGGGCAGTGGTTAAGCGAGGAAATTGTAAAATTGCTTTTCTGGCACCATCGTGAATATGAACCGTTGCTAAACAGGACCACCGTTAAACGAGGACTACCTGTATGGCCCTTTACTTAAAGGGAAATGAGTTTATTTCTTGGACCACCCTAAACGCACAAGAAGGCCCTCCGTTATTTCCTCCCCGCCGGTTCTTTCCCTCTCACCCAGGCAACAACTTGAGACGGTTGCTAAACAGGGCCGTCGTGAAGCGAGGACTGTCTGTATTGTCCTTTAGGTGAAGGGAAATGCATTTATTTCTTGGGCCCCTCTGAATCCACACAAGAGCTCCATTCCTTCATCCCGCTGGTTCTTTTCCCTCCCACCCAGGCAACACCCTGGAATGCCTGCTAAACAGGACGGTCATAAAGCAAAGACTACCTGCATTGTTCTTTACTTAAAGAGGAATGCATTTATTTCTTGGACCACTCTAAAAAGGCACAACATTATTTCCTCCTCCTGGTTTTTTCCCCTCTCGCCTGGGCAACCGCTTGGAAAGGTCACTAAACAGGACCGTCATCAAGCGAGGACTGTTTGTATTCTCCTTTTTTTGAAAACAGAGGTCTCCAAACTTTGCAAGTCTCCAAACTTAGCTATGCTGGCTGGAGAATTCTGGGAGTTGAAGTCCACAAGTTGCTAAGTTTGGGGAGCCCCCTGATTTAAAGGGAAATGCTTTGATCACTTGGGCCTCTCTCTGAATCCACCCTGCGGCTCGGTTCTCGTTTTTTTTAATCCCGCCGGTTCTTTCTCTCCGCCCCAGGCAACTCCGCACCACGGGATGTACTCCAGGGAGGAAGAGCTGCTGAGGGAACGGAAGCGCCTCGGCGTCTTCGGCATCACCTCCTATGACTTCCACCGAGAGAGCGGCCTCTTCCTCTTCCAGGCCAGCAACAGCCTCTTCTACTGTCGAGACGGAGGCCAAAATGGCTTCATGGTGAGCGTTTCCCTCTCCCGGCTGGATATTCCCTTCCTCACTACCCTTGAGTGACCAGCTGCCTTTTTTGAGCAAATGAATGAATGAATGAATTCTTTATTGGCCACGTGTGCTTGGACATCCAAGGAATTGGTCTTGGTGCAAATGCTCTCAGTGTACCTAAAAGAAAAGATTACATTCGTCAAGAGTCGAGAATCATCAGGTACAACACTTAATGATAGTCATAGGGTACAATAAGCAATCAAATCATACTAGGTAACAGTCCATATAAATCGTGAGGATACAAGCGACAAAGTTACAGTCATACAGTCACAAGTGGGAGGGGATGGGTGATAAGGAATGATGAGAAGATTAACAGTGATAGTAGTGCAAACTTTGTAAATAGTTGGACAGTGTTGAGGGAATTATTTGTTTAGCAGAGTGATGGCTTTCGGGGGGAAAACTGTCCTTGTGTCTAGTTGTTCTGGTGTGGAGTGCCCTATAGCCTCGTTTTGAGGGTAGGAGTTGAAACCGTTTATGTCCAGGATGTGAGGGGTCTGTAGATATTTTCACAGCCCTCTTTTTTGGGGCCCCATGATCCAAGTTGTGCTCAAGTAGGAATAAATACAGGGAGCCCTCAACGTACGACCACAATAGAGCCCAAAATGTCCACTGCTAAGCCAGAGGGCGGTTCAGTGAGTCTTGCCCCGTTTTATTACCTTCCTCGCCTCCATTGTTCAGGGAATCACTGCAGTTGTTAAATGAGTAAGACAGTGATTAAGAGAATTTGGCTTCCACCATGGACTTTGGTTGTCAGAAAGTCGCAAGAGGGGATCGCGTGACCCCGGTGTCAGGATTCCGGCAGTTACCCCCATTTCAATCATGAGCCAAACTTCTAAAACTTCAAAAGGATTTATGGGGAGTAAATATGTCCGGCGCTGCCTGTAGTGTAGCCAACTCTGAGACACATAATTCATTGTCACCCTGGTTTCCCCCCACCCCCCGGGTTTATCCTAATTCATATTCTCCAATGGGACACCTCCACAGCCCAGAGTCATCAATCATGCTCTCCAGTTAGATATTTGCCCGGCAGAAACTTCAGTCACCTAGTTACAATCTCTGAAAAACTATTTATGGAATGCACTTTTGATTTCCAAACTGCCACACTGCTCCCCCCTCCCTTTCTGTTGGCAACTCTAAAAAGACCATAGGAATATTTTACGAGTTGACATCCAGGACACGGCAACCATCATAAATTTGAGTTAAAATGCCAAGCTTCCGGGTGTTGATCATGTGACTGAGGGGATGCTCTAAGAATTGTAAACGCGAGGACCAGTCGTAAGACGCTTTTTGCAAACGAATGATTGTCGGTTGCGGAGTAAATGGTCAGTTAAAAAGGCAATTTATTTGGCTCCAGATCTCTCCGATGAAGCCGCTGGAAATCCAGACGCAGTGCTCGGGGCCGAGGATGGACCCCAAAATCTGTTCGGCGGACCCTTCCTTCTTCTCGTTCATCAACAACAATGACCTGTGGGTGGCGAACATCGAGACGGGGGAAGAACGGCGCCTGACTTTCTGCCAGAAAGGTACGCTGCTGCCCAGACCTTGGATCGGATGTTCCCACGCATGGAAGGCAGCATTGGTCTCAGTGCGTTGATGCACAAAAATCAGTTCACATCGGATGGTGTCTTGTTTCTCCGAAGGCTTCCGGGGACCGTTTTATTCATTTAGAGAATGTGTATAGATTTATACATAACTAACAACAATTTATAACAAACGTTATAAAGCAGTGATCCCCAACCTTTTTTACGATGCGGCCCGGTACCAGCATCAGCTGGGCGCCGCGGCCCGGTACCGGCATCAGCTTGGGCGCCGCCATCTTTTTTTGATGAAAACGTGCTTCCGGTGAGCTTTCTACCCGGAAAAGTTCACCGGAAGCACTTTTCATCAAAAAAAGATGGCGGCGCCCAGCAAGCCAGCGGCCCGGTAGGAGTTGTTCCGCGGACTGGTACTGGTCCACGGACCGGTGGTTGGGGACCCCTGTTATAAAGTACCCCCATCATATACGTGTGCCAGTTTAGTGTATTGGTTAAGGCACCAGTCTAGAAACAAGAGCCGGTGAGTTCTAGTCCCGCCTTAGGCATGAAAGCAGACTGAGTGACTTTGGGCCAATCTCCAGGAGACGCTGAGTTCTAGTCCTGCCTTGGGCATGAAAGCCAGCTGGGTGACTTTGGCCCAGTCCCTCTCCCTTAGCCCAACCCACCACACAAGGTGGTTGTTGTGGGGAAAATGGAAATTGGAAGGAGTATTAGATATATTTGCCACTTTGAGTTATTTATAAAGTAATAGAGGTAGGGTAGGTAGGTAGATAGATAGATGATAGATAGATAGATAGATGATAGATAGATAGATAGATAGATAGATAGATAGATAGATAGATAGAT